GGGGAGCGGCGTCCCGGGCTGAGGGATGCGCCCGGCGCTGCGGGGTCCCTGAGGGGGCCGGCACTGCCGAGCAGCCCCGGGGGCTGAGCGGGACCCTCTGGGTGGGGGTCCAGCGCCTTGCAGGGCCCATGGCTCCTGTGGCAGGGCAGAGGGGCCTGTCGGCCTGTGAGCAGCCCCGGCAGGGGTGCCCGGGGCCGCAGGGCCACCCCGGCTCCCCGCAGCTCCCGGCGGGAGAGGCGCGGGCCCTGGGATCTGCCGGGGAGCACGGCCCTCCGAGAGCCACCGAGCCTTGTTGTTTCTAATTAATGCCTGTGTGGTAGCCTAATCTGTGTTACCGGGCTCTCAGGAGTATTGTCGCACCAAAGGTATATTCTGGGGTTCAGTTAATTAAAAATTACTTATAAATCTGCCTAGGTCCTGTGTTGCACTTAACTCTGCTGTTGTGGCTATACCACAGAAGAAATACCCAATATTTATGCAGTTCCAGCAGTAGTTTGGCTAATTTCCTGTAGAGCTCTTTTCCGTGCTGTTCCTCATGGGATTCTAAGGGTTTGCAGTTCTGTCAGCCTCACTCGCTGTGGTGGGGACATGGGACTGACACCTGATTTTCCCGTGTCGGGAGCAGAGCACGTCCCCAGATCCTGGGGATTGTTCTGCTGCCGGCCTTGGGCTGCCTGCTCTCCTAAGGGCACTTGGTTCTAGAGCTGGAGCTTGCAGCACACACCTCTAGGTAGATTTGTGCTGGGATCAAGTTATGAGTCCCCAGGAGAACTGAAAATATGGCATGTGTTAAATTCTGGTTTATTTTATAATAAGCTTCCCCCTACCTACCCCTGTTTTTTTCTTTCAAGTACATGTGGAAGTATCTAATGTGTGTTCTCTTTGGCTATATACTTCTTATAAACTCAGTATCAACCATGCACTTAAACACATACTTGTGAGGATGTGTCTGATTTGCCTCTAGTAATGAAGTTCAAGCAAAAACTTGATGAAAAATACCTGATTTCTATATACAAATCTGTGTTTGTGTGTGTTTATTTTGGAGTTAATTTCTTTCTGAGACTGATAACAAGGGAGAATGTCTCTCTCATCAAGCCGAACTGAAAGAAGATAATACAGAAGCTGGGTTCAGTATGGTTGAATAAATCTAGCCACAGAGCTACACATTAACTCTGGATTTTCACACTGCATTGCAAAGCATGGTAAGCTTGTCTCAACTATCGGGTTTTTTCTTCATTTTTTTTCCTCTGTGAGGGGTAGGGTGCCAACACTGCTGACACTTGGCTTCCCAGAAATAGGTGTTTAAGTCAGGTGTTTGAAACACAAATTGTGTTAGTTTCTTTGTGGCCTGCAGAAAATGACAGAGTAGTAATGTGGTTGATTGAGAGCTATTCTGCATTTCTAGGACAGAAAATACAAAGTATAAGAGTGAGTTCTAAGAAAATGTTGTGAGTAGTTTCATCGAATAAGAGAATAAGCACTTTAATATTTTGCTTTTATATAAAAGAAGTCCTAACCTATTATTTGTCTTGAGCCTTTTTACTTCAATAAATTAAAAAAAAAATCATGTTGTTGAAGAACATAGCAAAAATATCTGTTCCAAAGTATAGATATCTGGGAGAAGTTGTAGCTTATCTTTGGAAGCAAAACATGATCTTTCTTGAATATTTTTGAGGAAAATGATTACTTAATAATTCAGATAATGATTTCTATTATTTTGGGAATGGCTACTGATTGTTTATAAAACCCAGCCCACGAAGAGTGCTTCTACCTCATTTCACACCTCATTGTTTTGCAGATTGTCAGTGATTGTGGAAGTTGAAGTCCTAGGAATTTAATTTCTTGACCATCTACTTGTGTAGTCTGACAGCTTCAGTCTGAGAGGTGCACCGGAACAACCTGTATGGTATGTAGAACTTTGATTTCTGTTAGCTGTACAGAACAGTTTAGTGGAAAAGATTGAGAGAATCACAGAATGACACACTGCTAAGGGATTGCAAGGGACCTTAAACATTGCTTGGTCCCAACCCCCTGCCATGGCCATGGGCAGGACACCTTCCACTGGACCAGGTTGCTCAAGGCCTTGTACAACCTGCCCTTGGACATTTCCAGGGATGAGGAATCCGCAGCCTGTTCCAGTGTTTCAGCAGCCTCACAGTGAAAAAATTCTTCTTAATATCCAGTCTATCTGTAACTATCCTGTCCTACCACTACAGCTCCTGACGAAGCATCCTTCCTGTAGCCCCTTCAGACCCCGAAAGGTGCCGTGAGGTCTCCACACAGAAGAACCTTCTCTTCTTTGGGCTGACCAGCTCCAACTTTCTCAGCTTGTCTTCACAGGGGAAGTGCCCCAATCCTCTGGACTTGCTGCAACATCTCCGTGTCCTTCTTGTGTTTGGAACACCAAAACTGGATGCAGCCCTGCCAGTGGGGTCTCACAAGAGCAGAGTGGGGGGAACAGTCACCTCCTTTGACCTTCTGGCCACTCTCCTCTGGATTCAGCCAAGAAAAGCCCTTGGCTTTCTGGGCTGTGAGCACTCACTGCTGGCTCATGGTGAGTTTTTGATCAACCATCACCCCCCAAGACAGAATAATTTTGTGAAAATACTTGTGTTCTCAGGACATGACTTTACATGACTTGCAAATGCTGATTCTCTTAAAGATTTGATGACTCTTTTAATGTGGGTAAAGAAGCAAGTGAACAAACCCCCTGATGGTATTGAACTGTGCAGTTAGAACAGGCTTGTAGTGTTGTGGGTCTCTTCATTGTCTCCTTACTTGAAAAACATAATATTGGTGTATAAGGCTGTAGTTAACTATGTTTGTTGGATAAAATTAGTTGTCACAAGCTGCATTTCATTCTTTGCAGAGCAACTGAGAAAGCAGTAATTTAGGACCAAAGCTCACTGGCTCACTTTGCTTTTAGTAGAGCTGCTGCAATTAAAATATAGGAAGCCTTTAATAAGAATTAATTTGGGAAGGGACACACACACTGTACATGCCCATTTATTGGTGAGACTTATACTTCTACATTCTTTGCAAATAATAGGTCTTAGCTTTTCTGTTTACATGCTGTTAGACCAGCCTGTAACTTAAAACTTTTCTTTGTAATAGCTCCATTAAGAAATTAAGGGAGGACTTAGTTGGGCAAGGAAACCCAAAGTTTATCTTGCATGGGTATCTGGTGATCTAGTAGATACTTTTTTTCTGAAATTCAGAGCTGGTATGAACCAAGTTCTGGCCTCTGTTCATTTCCATTAAACTTGGTCATGCAATTTAATGTGGTTTGCTTCTCTCTCTCTCTCTCTCTCTCTCTTCTTTTTATTTTTTTTTTTTTTGTGGTGGTAGCTGATAGTTATGCTAATAGAGTGTTAACTTTGTGATATTTAATGTTTACAGTGTTAATAGGTAAAGATAATAGCTGTGCTTTGTTGTGCTGGAGAATTTTAGTATGTTATTTATAGATCTGAAACCTACAAGATATGATATAAAAGCCTTCAATATGAAAAATGTTACAATTCTGAGCAGACAGTGAGAAAATTGCCTTTTAGAGGTCAAAACTCCCAATGCCTCTGGCAACATGGCCTTGATGTCATTTGACAGGGTGGAAACACAGCCCTTCATGGGAATAAACAGCCAATACCTGCATGATTCATTTTGTTAGAAGGGTTCTCCCATTGTTGCTAGGCAATATTTCCTAGGTGGAGTTAAAAACCAACAAAAATATCAACAACAAAACCCCCAAAACCCAGCTGCTCTCTCCTCAGAATAATACTTATTACAAGTTGTCTTGCTGTTGTTTATTTGTTTTTCTAATTAAGTGATTTTTCCTTCTTCAAAATAGATGCATCAGCTGAGTCTCAATAGAGACATTCCCCACTAAGAGGCAGCAAGGGGAAGAGCTGGAAAAGGGTTGCACCTGGTTAGTAGAAGGGTTCCTTTCTATCTTCCTCTGTCCCTTCTTAGAGCTGTCTGTTTGGAAATGCTTGACTATGTTGTGATGTGTAATTCTCAGAGAAGAAACATGGCAGAGACCAGCAGACATTCATTTGAAATGATTTTCATTCACTGCATTCTGGAATGGACTTGAAAGCAGGTCTCAGAGGCAACTTGTATGTACCAGTTTGTCTTACATATTTATTTATGACAGACTTGAATCTTCAGGATGGTATTCTATCAAATGACATACCCACTCAGTGTGATGTGTGTCTAAAAATAGGTCATTGTCAAAGGACAGGAAAGGAATTGTATAAATCTATAAACTAAACCATTGCAGTCTAGTGGGATAGCATACTCTGAAGCTGAGGTAATGCTATCTTCAAAATTGCAGCTTTCCATGGATTATTTTCTAGAATAATGCATTAACACTGTATTTATCAAAATAGACTCTAAAGACAGCTAATGCTAATGGGTCACTTCTGACACAGCAGTTAGAAACAGTAAAGTAAAACAAACAATCTCAGAAGGTGGAAGGGCTGGACCAAACTTTGCTCTTATGCTTAAAATATTACTGATTTGAACCTCCCATTTTTTTATGTGTTAAATGATATCGTAAAAAACTTATTTAGTGCTGGGACTTAGGTATTTGGGTTTGAGAATAATGCTTCTGTTTTGTGCATTTGGTCAATGTGAATGGATTTTTTCCTCTAGTTAATCTAGGGTGTTGAGAGGCCTGAAAAATAAGACTCTGAAGAATGATACTGTTTAAAAATGGGCATTAGGAAAGGCATTTTTGTCATTTCAAATAACCTGTTGATGTATACGAATGTGCGGGGTTTGGACCACAACAGAACAATGCAGATTTTTTTAGTGTTCATGACAGCATAAGCGCCAGTACACAGGTGAGGTCTTGAACTCAGCTGCACAAATGATATGTTTAGGTGCTTAATGCAGTGTTGTTACTGCAAACTCAATAGAAAGGCTAATATTTAATTAAGGATAGAGCGTGGAAATGATCAGCAAAAGAACAAATGCATCCGTGTACAGGGTTCTATTGAGAGGTTTGGAGTTACCAGGTAAAGGGGAAGTGTGACATCTGGTGGAAAGATGGTATCAGGAGCAAGAGATCCATTAGTGATAAATGGCATTATTTGGCATGAAAATGCATTATATGATGTTTGAAATCACTGCTGGATATAAAATTCACATGAGTGACATATTTTGTGGTCTCATAGTTCATATTGTCTGAACCAAAATACATGGCAATATGATTATGTTCTTAATGAACAGTGAACTTTTCTAAGCTACCAAAGAAAGCTTATTTTATTAAGTTCCTTCCCCAAACTCTTAATCTACACTGAAAATAAATTAATATGGTACAGATTTAAGCACCTTTGGGTATCCAAGTATTTTTTCAGAAAAATGTAATCTAAATACATTTTTTATCTATCATCTATGATGATCCTAGTAATTTTTTTTTTATTCTTGAGTTCTTATTGAGTCTCCTGTAATACTGCTTCCAGGTGCAAGCCCCAAATGATCAGGATCATTTGATGCTGCTGTTCTGGGAGATACTGGTCTGACCCTGCCTTGGAGGTATAACTGGAGCCCAGCACTGGAGCCTCTGTTTGGGTTCTGCTGCTCTGCTCCCAGAGCTGGTGGTGGTGGGAGGCTCCTCTGCAGATTGTGGGAATACTGCAGGAGAAGGGGGGTGGAACCGGAGCTGCCTTTTGCTTGGTGTCATATTGCTAGAGTTAGAACTTGCACAGAATCAAGGTGGGCTCAGAGCTGCAGAGATCTTGCTTTATTGTGTTTATTTCTACAGTATGTTGTGGAAAAAGAGTTTGCAATTCATTGGGAGCTCTATGTATTAAGAATGTTCAGGAACCTCCTAGCTCAGCTCAAAAGCCCAGGGGGAAAAAAAAAAAAGAGAATTCATCTTAATCTTTCAGCTCTGCTTTAAAACACCTGATTCTTCTGAGGTTTCATTCCATAGGATATTGATCATTCCACTTCAGTCTTGAGATTTTTCTGTGTTACAACTTTGCTACTGAAAGATCGCTTTATCCCAAGCACAGCACAAGTTCAGTCGTGGTTCTGCTTTGTAGTTCAGGCTCATCTCCTGTGCATAACTCCCTGCCCCAATCATGTGGGATTTCCCCCTTCATCAGAAGGCAATAAATCTTCAGCTTCTTTTGTTCTTTATGCATTTTTCTTCTATTTTTAATGTTAGCATTTCACTTGCTAGGACAATATATTATAAGAGTTCTGATTCCTTTTCCTGCTTTGGGGGCAGACTCCATCTGCAAGTTTTTGCCTGCTCACACAAAAATAATGCTTTTTGGGAACTGGCCAGTTCAAGGAAGGAAACAAGTTAACAAATACCTAAACCCACAAATCCAGCATTTCAATGCTAGACTGCAATGGGGTGCACCCATCTCAGGTGGCTGGCTTCTTGCTCAGCAGGCATTTAACAGCAGCATGTGTAACTTGTTTCTCCTCATCTTTACAGTCACAAATGGGTGATATTCACGAACTCAGGTATTTTGGTACCATGATGAATAAAATACATTGTTTACTCCAAAGAGTGAATAGTTCTGCTCTGCTTCTGGTGGGCAGGGGTTTGGATAATCCAAATGGGTTTGAGTAGAAGGCCTGTGGCAGGGAGTTTGCTGATACATTTTAGTGTAGTTTACTTCAGTGCTGAACAATTTCTTCCTAATCTACCCCTCCTCCTCAGCAGGGTGGCAGTAATTATCCTTTTCTGTCTGCGTTTCTTGGGATGGATTGAGTAGGCACTCTCATACTTGTGGAAGCACATCAATTAAAAACCAGTTAACACTGTTACTGTATTGTCATATGAAGACATGGGATGTAGGCCAAGCTTCAGTTTTTTCATTAAATGTTTGATGTTTTATCATGTTGGGAGGGAAACAAACCTAATGCTTTCCTCCAGAGAACCTCAGTGTATAAGTCAATGGCTTTCTGAAGGTTAATTCGGGGTGTGCAGACAGAAAAATTGTCCTATTAAAAGGGAGAAGGTAGTCTAGTTTAATTCTTTTGGAAATTTAAGTGAAAAACGTAATTTTTAGTCAGGTTGAGTTGACTCTTTCAAAAGATCTCTCGACATATACTAAAAAAAAATCAGACCAGAAATTTTGATTGACCAAGAGCCAGACTGTCAGGTTTTAGTTGTCAGCTCTCTATTGGTGAGGAAACAATTCTCCTTCTTACCAAATTATTACTAACAATGATACTGAGCTTGTGCTAGTACAAGGTGCTTTCTTAACTGCAAATGTGATTTCAGCCTGAAAATACCATAATAAATCCACTGAATGGACTTTCTTCTGTAGTATACCCTTATAATTATAAGCCCTTCTTTTTTTTGCCTGGGGCACCTACTTAGGAGATATCATAAAGTGAAAATAATCTTAATGTCACTAAATGAGAAAAGAATGATTGTATTACCTTGCAGAAAAACAAAATGGGAAGGGGGACTGAGGAAGGGACAGTACAGAATTATATTTGCTGCAGTCTTGTGGGCACCAGTAGAAAAATGCTCTTTATTTTTCTGAGAATGGTTTAAAAACGTGTTTGTATCAATGTTGCAGCTTCTCAGTAGTGACTGGGATTTCTGACTATGCAGACATGATGCACAGCCTTTAAGAAAACTGATATGGTGTAAATAGGAGGAACAGGGGGAAGGTTCCTTGAGAACCTGCTGCCAAAAAAAATAAAAAAAATAAAATAAAAAAAAAAAATCTGATGTAAGCCCAAACTTAGTAAAAGTAGGATATGAAACTTGCTTGTGGAAATGTACCACTGGATGCCACTGTTGCTTCATAGAATGTCATACTAAAATAACGTCAGCTTTGCTGAAAAATTCTGCTTTTCCTTCACTCTCATCTTCTTAGTTTTTTATTACTTTAATCTTTGTTCATATCAAAGGAAAGGAGAAATCGTGCCCCACTTATTCTCTCCAGCAACATGGTGATATGGTTTCCATATCTAGAAGTGACAGCTTGTCATAGGAAAGAAAAGGGAATGACACAAAATTTGTCTTTTCTTTTTTTTTTTCTTCCTCTTCTAAGGTAAAATTTTTTTTTTGAACAGAAGAAAGGCTCAGATGAAAGAGCAGCCAATTTTCCTTGTAACTAAATTCCTTCTCTCTGTCTCTGTGTTAATCACAACTAGATTTGGACACTGAGCCTTTACTCCTGTTTTAATGTCACCCTACAGAGCAGGGCAGGAGGTCACTTTTGCAAATACTTGTTTATTTCCTTTCCCAAGTGCTGGACATTTTGTACTTGAAAGAATGTTTTTCACTCGTTACAATTTTTTCTGCCTTGGGGAAGCAGAGAGGGTGAAGGTCACCAGGTGAATTTTTGATGGCTGTTGCTTGTTTTTACAGGTACATTTGTAATCACCTGATTGGCAACTCTGGGACTTTTCTCTAAGTTATACAGTATGGGGTTCTGTAAATAGCTGTTTTTTTGGTTTTTTGTTTGTTTGTTTTTTAACTGAAGCAACCCCCCAAATGTAATTAATTTAATTAAATGAAAAGGAATAAAAATCCTAACATCTGACTCGTAAGTTTCAGATCAGATCATTGGAGTTTTCTATTCCGAGTGCATTTAATTCCTAATCTTTCCTGTGGGAAAAGAAAAGAAAATGTTGGAAAAAACCGTGAGAGATTTCCTAGTGCCATGCCCGGCTTCTGCGGAGACAGTCCACCTTCTGCTGTGCGCCTGCTTAATTGGGTAAGCACAAATGCTGTCGGTTCCAGCCTAATTAGCAACAGTGGGAATGTGGGGAAGGCGAAGACAATGGAAAGGATCTCTTGCGGGGGCTCTGAAGGCAGGAGCAGCCGTGCAGCCCCGAGAAAGCGCGTTCCGTTCCCCCTGCGAGGCGGCCGGGAGCGGGGCTCAGCCGCGGGGCCTGGCACTGCCATGGAAACCGCGCACAGCCCGATCCCTCCGGCTCCCGGCCCCGCAGGCAGCGGCACACACAGCCTGCGGGAGGCAGCGCAGGGTTAAAATGCACCGCCCTTCTGCTGCCTCACCGCCGGCTTAGGAGGCAGATTGAGGGAGAGGAAAACATCAAGTAAATGGAGTAAGTTTACTCTCAAGGATGGGATGCAGACTCCTCGTGCTGGATGTCTGACAGCCAGAATGCAGTTCAATGATGCTACTGTTCGGTGATAATTCCCCTCTCTCTTCTGGAACTGGAGATTTGCCTGGATTAGGTATTGTGATCGGGGCTGGATGCTGCCCTACCTCGCTGTAGGTTCCGAGGGGAAGCCTGCCAGCAGAGCTGCTGTTGATGCCGCATAAACTTGTAGCGGTGACCCAGATAACATTGTGACCGACACAGTAAGTTACAGTGTCAGGAGGAATAAATGTCTCCTCCAGCCCCTCGCAGAGCTCCAGCTGTGCTGTGGTTCCTGCCCTTAAGCCCCATCTACCCAAGAAACTGACGGGCTCTGGGAGCTGCTGGGCTTCGCTCAGTTGTACAAGTGAATTCAGAAAATACACAGGGATTGCAATTATTTGGTAATTGTGGTGATTTAGTGTTCTTAGTAAAAGACCTTTCCAAAATGGTTGCCTGGGCTCTGTGATGTGTTTTGAGAATTCCCAGCAGTCATCTCAATGTGACAGCTCTCTAAAGAGAGCTTTTGTGCCCTTACCCCTCATCTACCAACCTCTGCTTGGTTCCTACTTCTGGCCTAGACCTGGGACAGGACTAGTTTTTAAATTACCTTCCCTGAAGCTCTGCAGTTAGCCACAACTTCATCTCACTTCTGTGCTGAGGTGGAAATGACAAGGTTTCACAATTCACAAGGTTTCTGTTGTACTCATTTGTTGTGCCATGCAGAGAGAAGGTTCCCCCTGTTCTTTTGCAGTAGGACTGGTTTCATGGCTGGAGAACACTAAGTGGTTCTGCGGTTGCTTGATGTGGGCTTGCTCAAACCATAACATGAAGTACAGCAATATAAAAGAACCAGACATCTCTGGTATGTTTGGACAAAAGCCTAAATATATCATCACTACCTTTTGTGGTTTGCAACTGTCAGAGAAAAATAGCTAGATGAAGTTTGACTTCAGCACAGGAAGGCCTGGGCTTTTTAATGTAATGTGTACTGGTAAAAAGTAAGATGGAATGGAGCAGGATTCAAGCCTGTGTTCTTGAGACGTTGTGGTCAGGTTAGCTAGCTAGCTAATGTAGAGACAAAGCCAGTGAAGGATTAAGAATGCATACCATAGGAATGAAATAAATGAGCTGCTGCTGCCTCTTTTTTTCCTCCCTCATCCCTTGTCCATTTCAGAGTGAGTGATGCAGAAGGCTGCTGCTGAACACCATCCCCAGGCTCCCTCTACACTGGG